GCAAGCTTAGACAGTTTACTCCAGCACCAGAACACATCCTTGAGATCTTTGGCTGGAATGATGCGGCTTTCCTCCTTGTCCTCCTCCTCCCCTGACTCCTCAGAAGCTAAGTTCTGCTTCAGTGTCTCGTTCTCTTCTTTGTGAAGCTCAAGCAGCTCATCAGTGGACAGCTCCTTACTGTGCTCATCCACCAACTCCTCAACATCATCATCATCCACTTCCAGGCCCATGGAATTGCCCAGACACACAATTTCATGTACAACAGCCTCTTCCTCTTAACTCTTCAAAGCCTTCAAAGTCTCTTTGAAGCACACATTCAGGCCACAATGGCCTCCAAGCAGCACAAAGACACATAGAAACCTCTTTCCAGGCTGACACAATTAAAAACACTGCGACTGCTCTATTGAAGTGACTCTTCCAAAACTCCTTCAAACTAACATCACTGGAAGAAATGGCTGCAAAACATTTTCTAAACAGTGCCTTTGTGTACAGCTTCTTAAAGTTTGAAATTACCTGTTGATCCATGGGCTGGATGAGAGGTGTTGTGTTGGGTGGCAAGAAGTGCACAGTGATGAAGTTGAACTCCTCTGGCAGTTCAACCATCAAATTAGGAGGGTGGGCTGGTGCATTGTCCATCACCAATAGAGCTTTCAGTGGAAGATTATTCTCCCTGAGGTATTCCCGAACACTGGGTCCAAACACCTCAGTCACCCACTCAGAGAAAAGACTCCTGGTCACCCAAGCCTTTGGGTTTGACCGCCACATAACACCAAGGCGGTTCTTCCTAATGTTTTTGAAAGCTCTGGGGTTTTATCTTGCAGTCACCGGAAGCATTAGCAAAAAGGAGGATAAGCCTGTCTTTCATCTGCTTATGGCCAGGGACAGAATTTCCTCCCTTGTAATGTATGTACGGCGAGGCATTTTTTCCAAAATAGTCCAGTTTCATCACAGTTAAATACCTGCTGAGAAACAAAGCCTCCCTCTTTAATCACATTTAAAAAATGTCATGGTGTTCCCTAGCTGCTTCCTTATCTGCACTAGCAGCTTCACCATGTCTCACAACACTGTGTAACTTATTTCTTCTTCTGAAACCAGTAAACCACCCCTTGGTACCCCCAAACACTGGCGCAGCACTATCACTTCCACTAGGAGTCTTGGCTTTAAGGTCCTCAAATAATTGTTTGGCCTTCTCACAAATTATAGCTTCACTCATACTATCACCTGCCATTTCTTTCTCCTTTATCCATACTAAGAGTAAATTTTCCATCTCTTCAATCACATTACACCTTGCTTTGCTAAGTCTAGAGATTCCCTTAGCCACTTGCACAGGTTTTAACTCCTCTTTATTCTTCAAAATCGTACATATAGTCGATTTAGCCATCCCATATTCATCACTAAGTTTCGCAATGCTTGTTCCATTCTCACGTTTCTTTATGATTTCTTTCTTAGTTTCAAGGGTTATTAGCTTTCTCACTCGCTTTGGACGATTCATTGTTACAATTGTACACTTGTATAACAAAATAATTATAAAAATAACACGAATTTCCACATCAAAAGACGAAATTTCAACAAGTTCAGTGGTGCACCGGCTACACAATGAGACAAAGATGGCGCCTGACGCTCTTGTTGTGAGCCGTGGTACAACAATATTCATGCACGAGACGAAATAGTCCCGTATTCATCCGCGTTCGTTGTAGGAGTTGCGTTCGTTATAGCATTCTCAATTTTATAGGTAAAACCGTTCGTTATAGGAATATCCGTCGTAGAATCTGTTTGTTATAGTATGGTTTCTGTTCTTTGTATATTTGAATTACTTGTATGTGCTTTGTTGTATCGTGTAAATTTTGTTGAAATTAGGAAATACATTTGTTTATATATACTGTAGATTTCCTAAATATCATCCGCATTTACAAACCTGCTTTTTATTTACGAATATTACACTTGATGTAGGCTACATTATACTTTAGTAAAAAAAAATATAATTTTCCATATTAATAGAAGGAAACTAAAACATTTATAATATTTACTATGTATAATCCAAAATTCCTTAAAAGTATTACAGTTGGGCCTTCATTTACGCGGTCAATTGAACCCGCGCTGTACCGCGCAAAACAAGGAATGCGTAAATGAAATAACAGAACATATGGGATTAATTGAAATAGAGACTGGGCTCACCCCCAAGCTCCACTTTTTCAGACACAATACCTACATTGTAATAAAAATAGTATCTTAACTTTATGATGGTATGCACACACACACACACACACACACATAATATAGAAGAGAAATATCGATAAGAGAATAATATACTGTGCCAGGTAAAAGAAAAATCAAGGTTTAACACTTACCTTAGGTTAGGTTAGAAAAAATCAAGGTAAGGTTAGGTTTAACACTTACGTTAGTAGAAGAGATGGGTCGGCGTACGGGAATGGCGGCTGGTTCCAAGGCAGAGGGCAGGCTACTGGCCCTCAGGTGAATCACCATCACCATCCACCACAGTTGTCAGGGCCTCCCTGACAAATCCCTCAGTCACCATCACTGGCTTGGGCTGGCTGTGGTGGGTTGGGGGCGAAGAGGTCCGTGATGTTACGCTGACGGCTAGTGGTGATGTTGTCGTGATACACCTTGATGTACGGCTCCATAGTCTGCAACAGCTGGGTAGTGAAGACTTCATAGCGGTTATCGTCAGGGTCGTTGGAAAGGATGAGCTTCAGTTTCTCTACACACTCGATGGCATCCTTAACATTACCATGCGTTAACTTGTGTTCTTCTTGGGATGACGCACCACCTGCCTCTTCACTGACATCGTCGTCTTCTAACATCTTGTCGGCAGTCACCTCAGGATCCCTTATCACCTCCACAATGTCGTCGTTGATGGTCTCGGAGAAGCCTGCAGCTGTAACACTCTGCGCAGCTTCTCTTGCAAGGTCCACTGCCACTGCAACAGACTGAACCTCACCAGTCACAGGTTGACTCTGCCTCCCACCTGGGATACCTTACAACACATGCCGCCATGCGTGACGAATCGTTGCTACAGACAGTTGATCCCATGCCTCCACCAAGAAGTCAACAGCTTTCTTGACGCTAAATTTCTTCCAAAACTGTTTGACGCGAACTTCTTGATCCGCCAACTCTTGTTCCTCGTCCTCGTCGCTCTCGCTATCGATGTTACCCAGGTTACGCAACTCATCCTTGGTGTTGGTACAGTTGTTCAGGAGCTTAAACTTCTTTGCAGGGAATGCAGCCTTAACGTTGTATATCAGCTCCTGGTCCATGGGCTGGATTAACGACGTAGTGTTGGGAGGAAGGAAGACTACTTTTACGTTGGGGTGACGATCCAACAGTAGGGGCGAGTGTCCTGGTACGTTGTCAAGGAGCAACAAAATGTTGACTGGAACATTCTGTTGCTCGCAGAATTTCTTGACGTCGGGAACGAAACAGTCGTCAAACCAGGAGAGGGACAGAGCAGAGAACATCCACGCCTTACGTGCGGTTAGCCAGTGGACATTTAGCTTGGTCATGTCCATGTTCTTGTAGGCGTGCGACTTGCGGGCTGTGTGGATCACCGATAACTTGAGTTTACAGGTACCGGAGGCATTGGTGGTAAACAAAACGGTGATGCGCTGCTCCTGCAACTTCCGGCCCCGACACTTGCTGGCAGACTTGACAACGAAGGTCTTGGAAGGTAGCTTTTTCCAAAACAGACCGGATTTATCCATGTTGAACACCTGGTTGTCGGTGTACTGTCCTTCCTCCATAACGTCACGTAAGAACGGAGGAAAATCACTAGCTGCAACACGGTCAGCATTCGCTCCTTCACCACCAATGTTAATGTTGGTGATCTTGTTCCTCTTCTTAAACCCTTGCAGCCACCCAGAGGAAGCAGTGAAGGATTTGGGCTCTGCAATTCCCATCTTACGTGCCACTGCTACGTACAGTTCACGTGCGTACTCTTAAACCGACTGCGTGTCCACCGCCATGCTCCGTCGTGCCTGACGAATCATGTAGCTCACAAGTAAACTCTCCGTCTTGAGAAGCACCTTGTTCTGGCAGTACTTCACCATTGAAGCACCTGCAGACTTTGTGATGTTCATGTGTTCTTTTATCTTGGCTGCATCCTTCTTGATTGTACGGATCGTAGATTCGTTAACACCATGCTGGCGCGCAAGATCAACCTGTCTTGTTCCTTTTTCTAACTCTTGTATTATCTTGTACTTCACCTCGTAACTTAGGGCACGTCGTATCTTCTTTGGCTTAGGGCGGCTGGGTCCAGGTAATGCAAGGTCCAGTGGAAGCCATTCTTACGAGATTATCGGAACAATAGAACACCGTATACACGGGGTGACTGGGAGGATCGTAACTGACGCGGCTAGGTCAGCGGCTTCATCCCTCCCGCAGCAGGGCACGTCATATTACATTAAACCAATCACAGCTAGTGGCGGAGGGAGGTAAGGATGCGTGGCCCAATCACAGTCCGATACGTCATATGACGTCACAAATAATGCAACAGAGACATACACTGCGCAACCTACTCGTGCTGCTTACCCAACATGGCGGGAGGTTTGAATCCAAAAATGGCGCAGGGCAGCAGGACCGCCAGCTGCTCTCCGCGTAAATGACCAAATTTACCGCGTAAATCAAGCATCCCTCTTCTGGCAAAGCACCGCGTAAATGACCAAACGCGTAAACGAAAACCGCGTAAATCCAGACTCAACTGTATTATTTTTTTCTTTATTATTCGTCTCAGTAGAGGAAGAGTAAGGGGGCAAAGGAATGCCCTGCCCTGGGTGCCCAGTACTCTAGGGACCATTGTGTATTTTACTTTTACTGTTTATTTATTCATCTCTGGAAGGAAGGGGGTGCCAGTGGATAGGTCTGCCCCGGGTGCCAAATACTCTAGGAACGCCCGTCCATAGAGCATATATATGAGGCATGACTAAATGTTGTATCTGATAAAAAGAAATAGGATTTTCACAACTAACTTCTCTATCACCACATACCTTTATATTATTTGAAATTTTGGGGGTATTAGCAGAGGGTGGGTAGACATTCCTCCTCGAGTGGGCCACAGGTCCATGTCGTATACACTTCCTTATATTAGGGTCATCCTCCCTGAAAGTACAGTAATTGATATTACATGTACCTGCAAGTTTGTATTTATTCAACCACAGTTTCGTGAAGTTCCAGGTTAACTGCATGTGCTTAATAAAACTTTCTCAACTTAATAAATTAATATAGAAGTGTCTCAGAGTAAAAAATAAAAAGCACTGTAGAATATCACTAAATTACCTGCAAGTTTTGACTGAGCGAGTCTGGAAATCACTTCTGGAGTAGCAAGTACAATACTATACTGTACAGTATTCCTACACTAGGCAACTAGAGAATAAAAATGGACCTTCAATGAATGTCCAATTTCAGTAGGACTGAACCACTGAGTATTGCAGAAATAAGAAAACCTGGATAATCCTTAGTGCTCAGTGATACATGTCTGATAAACTCATACAATGCTCAATGAGGGTTTGTTTTAATCTGTTGGCTGCACAGCTGTGGGGGAAGTGGGATACAGTATCAGTATTTGCCATTCCATAAATAATTTACAAACTTGAAAGATCGTAGACAGTGTTGCAATACATTCTTCATTATGACACTTCTTCTCCATAATCAAGTCAAGATATAATTAATAAGGTAATGCAAATGAACATAAACTTTACTTATAAATTTTCAATTCATTTACCTGTTTCCTAAATGTACAGTACTGTATAATTGTACTTATTTTATTACAAGCAAATGTCCAGTTTAGTTTCAAGCTCACTAAGTCATTCTGCATTATGAATGTAAGAGTTTTTTAGGCACAGGATGGTAGACCTATGGACCAGTTTACCAGAAGAAGCATGGGTTAAGATTCGGAAATTGTCTACCCCAAAACTATACAATATTGATATTTATATAGAGATGCTTGGCTAGTCACAAGATGGATTCATTTTGCAGCAGGTGTTCTTCGTCAGCTTGGTAAACCATTCGTTGTGTCTTTGAAAATGAATCCGCTGCTATTGAAATTTTTAAGGCTCATGGTATTCTGGCAACTTCTGCAAGATGTGTAAAATGCAGTTCAGACTGTTACTATCTTGAAGATAAAAACCCTTATAGTTTTATACTAAATGACGGAAACTCGCCAAGACAAAAATCTCCCCACTGTGGCTTCTGCACTTAAGAGCACTTAGTTGAACCAAGTACCTTCGAGCAATATCAATTTATCCTTCAGTATCTGATAATTAAGGTAAGGTTAGGTTAGTTTTGGCTAAGTTTTGGTTAAGATAGTTTTGATTAGGTTAGGTTTTGGTTGGTTTGGTCAGTTTTTTGTATTTTTACCCCAGAATTTTCCTCTACGTCAAAGCCCTTCCCCCTTTGTGTGAACAAAATTGTTGGTAGAGGGGGAGGGGTGTCATATCCCCAAAGCAGCTCATTTCCAATGGAAATAAAGGTCAGATTCCATTAAGACACCACAAAATACACAAGAAAAACCTATTCTTCTTAATAGTTTCCTTGCTAAACAATTTCCAAATCATTATGAAAGGATGAATAATTCTGGGCTTTAAAATAGGCAGAGGATATTTTGCTGGAACCAGCAAAGTTCTTACTAACGCTATTTTACCGTGAGTGCGCTCTACTCTGATGGGATAGTCATCCATTACCATAGTTTTCTGACTAACTGGCAGAAATAAATGCCAAATGCTGCCAGAGTCACGGTCACATATCATTCTCACATTGCTTGCCGGTAATGGACGACTAACTGATCAGAGCAGAGTGCAATTACGGTAAAATAGCATTAGTAGGAACTTTGCCGGTCATGGCAAAATATCCACTGCCTTTAAAATATCCCTGGCCAAGACTGTCAAGAACACTGGGGATATCCTACACCAGCATTCTTTACCTGAGTAGGAGAAAATTTCCAATTATACACAAAACATATTGCTTGTACACATTGTGTCAATTTCATGAGTTAAAAAATAATTTATCTTCATTACTGAAACGTAATGAAGTAGGTTGTTAGCTAAGTAAACTTATGGTAATAGTAGAGCAGACGGCTAACACCAGAAGGATGATAGTAAGTAATAAAAAGGGTCCGACTAATTACCCAAATGTAGCCGCAATGAAGTCAAATAATGGTCCTACATGAATAAATCAGACTGCCAATCACTTCTCGACTAGTATTTGGTGTCACAAAGCAAAAAAACATTGGAAAACGTAATTTAATCTGAGTTAATAGATCGCGGGCATGTACCAAGGGAGCGAATAATTACCCAAATGTACCCAAATATAGCCGCAATGAAGTCAAATAATGGTCCTACATGAATAAATCGGACTGCCAATCACTTCTCGACTGGTATTTGGTGTCACGAACTCACCAAAAATTGGTAAACTTAATTTAATCTGAGTTAATAGATCGAGTGCATGTACCTAACCTAACATGACCTAACCTAACCTCGACTAGTATTTGGTGTCACGAAGTCACAAAAAATTGGTAAACTTAATTTAATCTGACTTAATAGATAGAGTGCATGTACCTAACTTAACTTAACCTAACCTAACACAACACAACTCATTAAATTAAGTTTACCAATTTTTTGTGACTTTATGACACCAAATAATAATTGAGAAGTGATTCACAGTCCGATTTATTCATGTAGGACCATTATTTAACTTCATTGCGGCTACATTTGGGTACATTTGGGTAATTACTCGCTCCCTCGGTACATGCACGCAATCTATTAACTCAGATTAAAGTAAGTTTTCCAATTTTTTGTGACTTTATGACACCAAATACTAGTCGAGAAGTGATTAGCAGTCCGATTTATTCATGTAGGACCATTATTTAACTTCATTGCGGCTATATTTTGCTACATTTGGGTACATTTGGGTAATTAGTCAGACCGTAATAAAAATGATATGACAACTTTTGATTTTAATTATAAGTATACAAGTATATATTTTTCAGTTTTTCTCTATCTACAATCATAAATCACCTGTAGTGGGCAGGGTACAAAGGATAAGAGAAATTGCGAGGCAAAACACTGTGAAAACTGATCATTTAACAGATTTTTCAGGGGAGTATTTACCCAGTAAATAATTAATTTCTTCACGTACAAAGCACGTAGACATCACTTTAGTGTCATATGATCGGTTTTACACCGTGTTTTAACCCGCAATTTCCCTCATCCTTTATGCCCCGCCCACTGCTGTACACATGGTTTATAATCATAGATAAAAACTAAAAAAAAAATACTTATAAATAAAATATAAAGTTGTCACCTCGGTAAATTTGCATAAGTGAGCCCCATTCCATCCTAAATAGTTTCGGTAACCATTCATTCCGACGGAAATGCCATAGAAGAAAAGTGTCTTAGAAAAGTCTGAACTAAGCAAAAAAAAATTGTTTTTAATCAAGAAATTAATTTGGGCCCACTAATACCATAATATTGTCACCTCTTATAAAATACTTAATATAATAATATCTGTGGAGAAAATGAACTAAACAACTCCTTCTAGTGGTAGTGCTGTTCTCAGAAATTACTAAGTATCGGTAAGTTCTTTCTGCTTAATATGCCAGGGCCCCCGAGCTAGGAAGTTAGGTAGGTTTCTTTGGTTACGTTGATTAGGTCAGGTTTTATTAGGTTCTGTGCATTTTCATATCGAGTTTATTACTTACTATCATTCAAAGAACATCTGTGGAAAAAAAGAATGAAATCAAACAACTTGGGGTGTTGACCAGCCAGGGCCACCTGCTCCACCTTTAGCAAATGTCCTACCATACAGTAGGTTGCTAGTTAAATCGACTTAGTTTTTATTAAAGTCTTGTATACTTACACTATGTGTTGTACATGCTAAAGTTGCTAAGCCATTGTGAATTTGTAGGATGACTTTACAAATTAATTTTCTTCCAAGGTTAATTTTTTTTAATAAAATGAAAACTCCGGCCGCATTCAAAATGTTGTCAGGAAAACTCAAGAGCCTAAATTAACACACATGGAGCTTTATATTACCCGTATAACGTCATTCAGGTGAGTGGAGCTCCCTCATGTGTTGTTCACATCACCCCTCACTCCTAGTCTTGTTAACATCCGCCCTCCACCACTCTCACACCCTCCACTTTACATGGTTATTGACTCATCAAATCATACTCTGCTAATGTATTCAGTGCATATGGCGACTCTTATATTCTTATCACTGTACCAGTTACCAAGCCACAGCCTAAATGTTGGACTATTTTATCTCAACCGTGGGAGTGTCTGTCAGCAGGGCGAGGGAGCTCTTGTTTATATCCACCTACTAGTACATCTGAACCCATTGCCGAACCTCCAAACCCCGAGCCATATTTCAACATATATCTTCTTGTTGAAACCATATATCATTGAAAACTTATGATTTATATATTATTTATTATTAACGTTAAACACTCGTAATTTTTTTTGCTAATATTAATCTGGGATTCAGATAAATCAGGGGCCGGTGCATACCCAGTGCTTGCCAACAGAGAGCCAGTACATGCTTAGTGTACTTGCCAACAGTGCGTGACAGATGTGAAGCCTGGGTTTGCTTATACTGTACTGTAGCTGAGTACCCTCATGTATACTTGTTCTTCGGGCTAATGTAATGTGACCCCTTTAGACCTCACTGTTGCTCCAGTACAGTCTGTCCATATCTTTATCAGTTAGTATCCGGCACACATACACCATTGACCGCTCATGTCCAACGGGAAATGAGCTTAATTCTTTTTCTCATTACAGATTTTATGAATTTTGACATTTGCTTCACACACACACACACATATATATGTATATATATATATTGATAAAATCACACAGGAAAAAGGGAAACAATGGAGCACCTTAGCTGTTTCCCTTTTTCCTGTGTGATTTTATCAAGATTTATCTTATCTACGTTTTCATTGTGGATCTACATGAAATATATATATATATATATATATATATATATATATATATATATATATATATATATATATATATATATATATATATATATATATATATATATATATTTTTTCTACTGGACTGACTATATTACGGTGGTGAAGTATGGCATTGTACTTTCTTTTTTACCTTTATCCTCTTCACCCTTGGATCGTAGCCGCGAGTGATCAAGGGTGCTAGTAATGACTTAGTTTAACGCCAAATACGCCATTGATTTTATATTATATTGATAAATGCCAAAACATGTAA